GTGCTCACTGCACCCCGCTGCGGCCCCTGTGTGGCCAGAGCCAGACTCTGGTCTGGGCGCCTCCTTCCTGCTCTCCCTCTCTCCGTCTCCATAACTACCTCTGGGAATTGACAAAAATGTAAAGTCTGGGTTCCTGCAGGTGAGGAAAGTGGGTTCTCATGGGTGGTAATTATTTTAAAAAGTCAGCATCAACACTTTAAAGTGTAAATTTCTGTCCCCGCCATCTGCTGCAGGAATTCACACTCAGGTACCAGCAGCCCTCACAGTAGGATATACACAGGCTGCTCCCGCCCGAACACGAGGCCCAGCTCACCTGCCTGCTCCCCAGGACCATCCAAATTGCGGGCCATGAAGACAACACCCCTAGGCTGAATCAGAGCCCCTCCAAGCTTTGCCTACCAAACCCCACTCAGGCTGCTCTCCCTGAGTCCAGATGGCCCCAGGGTACCAGCATCCGGTCTGTGCTCCAGCCAGATGGCAGAGGGCAGACAGCAGCGTAGCCAGGCCTGTGCCCTGTGGGAACAGCCCCAGAGGGGCCCGAAGCACATTCCAGCTGCTTCTCTGCCCGTCCTCCCTGGGGCCTCCAGCTCCCCTCGGCCTGTCCACGGCAGCTCCTCCCTGACCCCAGGTCACGTAGGCCAGATGCTCCCTGTCCATGACCCTGTCCCTCCTCACTGACCAGCACTGGCCTCTGGCCCCTGAGCAGGGGCTGGGGCGCTGTCCTAACCAGGTGAGATGGACTCCCCTGTCCATGGGCTCTCTCATGAGGAAGGCGCCACGGAGGCTGGTCACTCCCAGGCCTCTGGGCGGCCAGGGCAGGGGTGACTTCCCAGAGCTGGGAAGATGCTCACAGCATGAGACCAGTGAGAAGCAGCTCAGTGCACAACCTCAGTCATAATGAAATACAGACCTCACCTACATGCACCCCACACATGGGCAATTGCTTTTTCATTTTCAGATGCTTTTTTGTGGGATTATCTAGATCATATACCAGAGTTTTAACAAATCCACATAGTAAATGTTCATTTCAGTTTTCTAAGGCATGGGAAAATTTCATTTATATCTTGTAAGAAAAGCTGAACATCTTGGTTTTCCTCTGTAATTTTCTTTAAAGATTTATTTATGCATCCAGAACTAGGGTACAAGCCAGAAGCGCAGGGACAGTGAGAGGATTCACCAGAGACAGAATGGGGAGCAGAACAGGCCGACTGACAAAGTACACTGTTGAGGGGAGCAGCGGGCGGTTCAGGAGAGGTCTTATGTGTCATGTGGGTCACCTCCAGGGCTGGGGATCAAACTCACACTGAAGAGGCTACACTAGCTTGCATCCTGCCCGTTGTGCCACCAGGGAGGGCTCCCTCTGTAATTTTTTAAGGTATCTATAGTTTAAAACAGTATATATTTAGGGGAGCAGGTAGCAGCACTCCACAGTTAACATCTACAGAGTGATCTGGTGGGTGTCATGGAGCGTCTCACAGTATTTCCTGCATTTTAGAAATATTCTATAATGAACCTATATTCACTTCATGATTGGAAAAAGAACATTGCATTTAAAATAACAGCCATGTTGTCTTAAGAAACAATCAACTTCACATATGTTTTTCTCCATTTTCAATAAAAGGAAGGGGCTTTGATGCCCCTTGGAAATTTCCTTTAAAGGAGATACTTTTCTTTTTTTTTGTTTCTTTTAGAGCAGTCTTTTTTTAAGGTGGCTTTTATTTTATATATATATATATATATATATATATATATTTAAGGTGAATTTTATTATTTAGATATATCAAAAATGAAGGGTGTATGTGTATACACACACACACACATATATACATAGTTTATATATATAGTTTATATTTATATATGTGTGTGTGTGTATATACATATAGATACAGTTACATCACCCTTCATTTTTGTACAATGTGCGGTCTCCCCATGAAATTCCCACCATTCCCCTGAGCACCATCACCGTAGTCCCTGGTGCTCATCCCACCCCTGCCTCACCCTTCTCCCTCCTCCTCCCCTACAGAATGTATCTGTTCTGTGGTTGATTTTGATCTTTATTAAGTTACATTTTTTCCTAATCCCTTATTTGGTTCCTCTATATTTTGCCTATGAGTGAGCCCGGTTGTCTTTATTTTCCTTTCTGGCTTATTTCACTGGGCATAATCCCTTCCGGTTCCATCCATGTTTATTTCAATGGCAGGCGTTTGCCATTTTTGATAGGTGAGTAATGTCCCATATGTAAACAAACCACATCGTTTGATCCGGTCATCAGTTCTGGGGCTTGGGGTTGCTTCCATAGCCTACCTATGGCACTCTGTCTGCAATAAGCATAGGGGTCAGGTGTCCTTTACAATTACTGTTCTTGTGTCCGTTGGGCAGATATTGGAGTGAATTGCTACATCAAATGGAAACTCCATTTCTAGTAGTTTGAGAAACCTCC